CGGTAACATTAAATTATAGTAAAAATGGATATTTATTCAGTATTCATAAATACTGACGATTTATCCCAAAAAACACGCTTATTTCTATGTATGTAGGTATAGTAATTATGTCCTTAGTGCGGCCCGTTTAAGCTATAAATTGTGCATGTGGTTTCACAGCTAATGTTCGGTCTGCTTATTTTATTATTTAAGTCTGTGGAGTTGTCGTTCGTCTTGGAGGACTAAGGGGGAGGCCTTCGTCCAGCCGTGGACGCAAAGAGTATAGTACCTAATATATCGCACCTACGGTGCAATATCGTCAATATGCAATTTTTGTCAAAACTTAACTGATTATGAAAGAATATTCCAAATTCATCTCTTTACTTGGTGCGTTATTGTCATTTGTGGAGTACGCAAACTGTCCTCGTGAGGGCATTACTGTCGTTACGGGTTTGGCGCTGGACGGCACTGGGAGAAACAACGTATCATTGTTCAGTTTCACGCGGGCCTCCGCAATACACAAGTGACGGACCATAAGTGAAGCATCGGAGGTACGATATTATGATCCGAAAAATCACACATCTGTAGCGGCCACTTTTGTATGGTTGTCTACTTTAAGTAGACAATCATACTAATCTACTAAAGTAAAATATTCTGTGTAAATATTTCTTTTATTGCTACATCCACGCTAAAATCCTACATAAACGTTGTATCTTTATGGAGTCTGAGTGATTGTGCTTCGGTGAGTCGGTCAGTGTTGCCCTATACTTAATAAACTCTTTGGGTCGGTGTGTCAATTGTGAAATGTCGCACGCCTAGTATTCATCTATGGTCGCACGCAACTCGTCGTCATTCGTGGCAACCGTCAATGTCAAATGAGATTATTTACAAGCAAGCAAAAACTTGTCGTCAAAGAAAACTATATGGAAATCAAAAAGCGAAGTAGACGTGCATGAAATAAAAAGCTTTACCTTGCTAATTGCAGTTTTCACGAATCACAAGCAGAATTAAATACCTGAATAATAATATTTCAATTAATGGAGAGGTTTTCTATTAATTGAAACTACCTCAACGTAATAAACAAAACATTTAAAATACTTCAAACTTGTACATTTTAAAATTATTGGGTAGGTACAATTCGAAAACAATTCATGTTTTAGTATAAGTGAAAGGCCGCCTAAGATTTTACCACATAATATGATGCAGAATGAAGATAAAATTTTGGAACACCTGGTATCAGTGGAAAAACTAGCTAATGAAATTTTATCAGATAGACATGAAATTGTTATGCTTGATAAAAGAAGAAATCAAAACCGTGAAGCTTTACGAGACTTGTCCAAATCTTCTCAGAAGAAATGTTGGGTGACTGTAGGATCCGTTTTAGTCAAACATAATCTGGATGACACAAGGTTGTTGTTAGAGAATGATCAAAAACAACTCACCATTGATATAAACAAACTGCGAAGTGACCTCAAAGTTAAAGTAAATAGTCTAAGAGATTTGGAAATGCAGAAACCTATTCCTGGATTAATGTTAGTTCCTTTGTCATCCAAAGAAAAAGAGGGTTTATCAAGCTCTAAATTGATTCCTTCCTAATTGTACTTTATTCAATAAAACTGAGTATAAAATAACAGTTATTTTTATTCCAATGAAAGAGTTACCATTTAATTTTATTGTTTATAACTACATACATTTTATTAAGACTGTTCATGCATTAGCATGAATGCTAATATGGGCTGAAATGTATGTAGTTGTAAACACATGCTGAGCGCTTGCCATCTGAACATAGGCTAAGTCAGTTACCATACAGTTTATGAGAATTGTATAGATGGACAAAATGGTACACCTAATATCATCATAATTGTATTACCATAGTTCATCTGGTGTGCGCTACCCAGGCCAGATGTTGTCGAAAATGGTCATTTGAATCTTATAAATAATTAGTTGTGCGGCATCTGCAACAATTATGTTGCGCTTATAGTTTTTTTATTATTTCACAAAAACATTTCCTGCTGGGGTACTGTTACCCCAGCCAGACCTTTTTCTTTCTAATGAGAATATTTTAATAATTACTAACTATAAAATTAGTTGAAGATCTTCTATTATAGATAAAATAAATGTTGTGCCTTGTTTTGTATTTTTTCTTACATCGGTTGCGAAGTTATTCGAATTTATTGCACAACTAATTTCTAAGAAGCCATGTACAAAATATGATAAAAATCCGCTTAACCATTTCAAAGATCTAGCAAAATCAAAAGCATTACTCCAGCAAAATCTCGAATAACTTCGCAACCGACGAAAGAAGAAATACAAAACAAGGCGCAACATTCACTTCATCTAGACAACCTAATTTTATAGCTAGTAATTATTTAAATATTCCCATTAGAAAGAAAAAGGTCTGGCTGGGGTAACGTTACGTTACGTTAAGCGCAACAATTGTGTCCCTTCGTCCAGCATACTCACCATGGAATCCTGATATTTCATGAATGTCAAAAAACTGTTCTGAAATAGTGCTAAATAGTGCCCAAAGGAAAAAAATAGTGCTCTTGTACTTGCGAAGTTATAGCCATAGTTCGATGAGTATGCTGGACGAAGGTTTCGCCCAGCATACTCACCTCCGTCCGGAGAATCTGTATACGCTTCAAACATAATTCATACTTCAAAAAATAGTTCCCAAATAGTGCCAAACGGTGCCCAAAAAGAAAAAACAGTGCTCGAATAACTTCGGAGTTATAGGCTTCGTTCAGTGAGTATGCTGGGCGTAGGTTCTACGCCCAGCATACTCACCTCAGTGCGCGAATATCGAACGAGCTATAGGTACAATTTACGTCTCAAAAAATTGTGCTTGAAATAGTGCCCAATATCAGTCCAATTTTTGCTTGACTTTTGACCTAGAAAACCATTAAATTTGATTGTAAACTTCTACATACATTACATTGAGTACAGTCGAATACAATATTATTAACTTTCTTTCTAACAATTTTTGTCTTGTGTAAATTATTAATTGTCTATGTAAGGGAGTATTTACTTTAGAATCGCAATATTATTAATTACACATTATTTTAATAATACTTTATAATAATATGATTAAGCCTTCGCGCGTCGCATGGGACCCCGGTAGCTAGGAACAATGATTTTATATATTTTGTCTAGATCACGGCGCTTGAAGGATTAAGATATCAAATGAAGTAAATCATGCATGAAAAATAAAGTTGCTGTTATTAATGCTTACATTACAACTGACAAAATTATTCAAAATAATCATTTTCCGGATCAAGGACGGTACCACAACGTTTACGGAATTGACCTGTATTCCTCATGTGATAAAGTTCAATATAGTGTGGCAGTAATGGATGCACGTACGGTCAATAGGTATGGGGCTTACGACGCGCGGCGCCCGCGACGCAAATGAATATGTTTATGTTTAAATACTAGATGGCGCTGCCCTAACATCTTACGATTATTAGACAAGACTGATCTGTATTTTGAAGGTGATAAGGGTCCATTTTGTGTCACAAAGCAATCGAAACGAACAAGCGCTTCTCAGTTTCTTTGTTTGTTTACTTCGTCGCACATCATTATAATAACGCCGGCTTTTGAGTTTGACTACATAGTGGGTTGCAAAACCAAACAATGTGTTGGTGATGTCATTATTTACCTATATAAAATTGTGTATCTAGTACGTAATCAATATAGGAGCTGCACCCAAATCAGTAAGTATATTTCAATTTATAATAGTGGCATTTAACTAAATTGATTTTACACTCATTCATTAATTGCACTGTAAAACTAGGTAGCAAGCGAGTTATTTTTTACAAAAACACGTTCATTTTTTCGTTGAATATGACACTGTACACTTAAAATTAAGGACATGCTTAAGAAGTTTTAAAGAAGTAATAGACTTCATTTACGCTTAAAGTTTCATTCATTTATTATTATTTATAAAATATATAATAATGCGTTTAATCGAAAGTTTTTGACATTTGAGAAAATACCATAATTATTTCCAATAACATGAAGTCTACAATTAGAAAGTTTAATATTTTTGTCCAAAAACATGTGTCGACGACTGTACCCCATTTTACGTTAGTATGTAGAAGTTTACATTAAAATTTAATGGTTTTCTAAGTCAAAAGTCAAGCAAAAATTGGACTGATATTGGGCACTATTTCAAGCACAATTTTTTGAGACGTAAATTGTACCTATAGCTCGTTCGATATTCGCGCACTGAGGTGAGTATGCTGGGCGTAGAACCTACGCCCAGCATACTCACTGAACGAAGCCTATAACTCCGAAGTTATTCGAGCACTGTTTTTTCTTTTTGGGCACCGTTTGGCACTATTTGGGAACTATTTTTTGAAGTATGAATTATGTTTGAAGCGTATACAGATTCTCCGGACGGAGGTGAGTATGCTGGGCGAAACCTTCGTCCAGCATACTCATCGAACTATGGCTATAACTTCGCAAGTACAAGAGCACTATTTTTTTCCTTTGGGCACTATTTAGCACTATTTCAGAACAGTTTTTTGACATTCATGAAATATCAGGATTCCATGGTGAGTATGCTGGACGAAGGGACACCAACAATTACAGATGCCGCACTAATAATTATCTATAAGACTCAAATGACCATTTTCGACAACATCTGGCCTGTGAAACGCACACGTTCATCTGTGCGTGCCTTATGAATTGTACACATGGACAATGCAGTGTAACTCACTGGTCGGTTTCCACTACAACATCGAGTCCACGCAAGCTGGAAATGCAGTGTGCGGGCCGTAAGAGAAATGGAAAATTGCCTCCCGCAGTAAACTGTGCCTAAGCAGAACCGCAAAATTAAAAAGAGATGTTAATTTTATATTGTTTTTAGTAGCTGTTGTTGTTAGATTCAAATGTCTAAATACAATAAAAGGACTTTAAATAATTTTTTCATATTTTATTGGGCTAAGGATTTAAAATAAAAGTCGTCAAATATATATTTTCAATATGCACAGTTATATCTTTATACATGTAAATAATATAGTACATAACAAATAAATAATAAATATTACCAAATTTTTAGGATTTATCCATTAATAAAAATGTAGTTTGGTGTGATAATTATGATACAAAGTGACTTGACTAAATGCCAATTTGTTAAGTGAATGAACCTTACAAATGTAAATCGAAGAGTAATTTTACATTAATTCTAATTGTGTTGTATTGAATGTTTGTTATAATAATTTATAACCTGTCAAACATGGCATTTCTCCTTTGTTAATATCATAAAAATAATTATGTAACCAATTAATTATAATCATCACCCAACTATCTTAACATTATAAACAATATGGCATATATGAATTAATAGTTGATTTCAATTACATTTTCTTTTAGAAATAATCAATTGCAACATAATATAAAACCTAAGCACATTAACTTACTTATGCATAATTGTCAATATCAAAACATTTATCCTAGAGGTTATTGCTTATAATAATATATATTCCTTAATAGCTTGTAATGAAAATTATCTTCATCAGTACAAAATGCCACATTTACTAAGAAGGTCCTCGAATACTTGAATGTAATATTATTTTGTGGATTGTCTTTTGAGCACATATACTAATTTCTGTCACTATCACAAGTCTTTGAATTTCGAGTGGCCAAAGCACATGATTTTTGTATTATTGACTATTCTACTGGCATTATCTTGTACAGTACGGGCATGCACTTAATGAGGGACGCCGTGCGGTTACAATCACAGATGAGCGGCGCACTCGGCGCCGGCCGCGCCCCTGCACTACCAGTTGGCCATGCCAGGTTTGTTGAGCGTCATGAAGTATATCTGACAAGAGGAACCACCTTTGGCGGAAGAGAAGAACACTTTATCATTTCGTTCACATAAGAATTTGAGTCGTTGTGCTTTCTTGTGCATAAACACGCCGTCGAGATGACCGGTTTCTACTGAACGGATCTCGATGGCTTTATTGCCCCAACCCATGATTTGTCCTGTGCCTATGTAGGCTACTGATGTTGGCATTTCACCCCACTGGAAAAAGACCAATATACATCAATTAAAATTTAATTAAAATACCCGTAACAACAATATCAATGAGTTAATAACACAAACCTGGAGAACAATATTCTTGCTTACTCGTCCATATGTGTTCACATAAACTCCTTCATTATCATAGCATAACAGCAACTGTACTCCATTGGAGTTTGGAAGGGGTACAATGCAATGTGGCACAATAGCTCCTTGTGTCTGCAAATATAATCATAATTATTATATATTGCTGGTTAAATACTAGTCGCGTTAGCTGTTTTTTGAGTAAATCAGCAGTAGCACGCAAGTCGGAAATGGCTGGCGAATGGCAAAATTTCGCACAGTCGCAAAATCTAGTCGTAGAACTTGTTGGTTGTGTCAAGTAATTTAAAATAAAAGCATAGTAAAACAAAATTTAGTCTTGACTAAAATTATTACTTACATGCTTTGGGATATAAATATCGTAGACTGTGGCAGTATCTAAATCAACCGCGTGGAAGCCATCTGCCGAACCATAAATTACTTTCAGTCTTGTGCTGTCTTCTATAGTCAAATCAACTAAAAGGGGCCTGAAATACAAAAAGGATATATATCATTAGGTACAATTTAAGAGAATTAATAAATTAACACATTTGAAAGAAAACAATATAGATATCATTAGAATTTTTTCAAGGCCCGAGTAAATAGGTTGTTCATGAGATGACGTGCTCCATCGTAGACCGCATCATCGCTTACCACTAGGCCAGATAGTGGTCAAACCGTCAAACGTCGGTACATCAAATTTATAAAACATTACTACCTAATATAAGATTTACACACCTATGTTGCAGATCTCCAAAGTTTTTAAAAGCCATGAATTTGTGATATGGTTTTGGCGCCCAAGCATAGATCTCAATAGAGTCCTTCAGGGCTATAACAAGGAACTTGATCCTTTCGTATTTGACAATACGGAAGTGAACTGCACCCTGCAGTTCACCAACATTAATCCATCCATTTCTTCGTTCTGCTTGCTGAAATTTAAACATTTGGATTACTAAGTGGTTTGTATTTCAATTTATGCCGTGTTGTTTATTCAGCAATAATAATAAGGCGATAAACGATGACATGGCAAGGCAAGGTGTTACTGATAACTTCCAAATCAAAATGTCCAACACAACTTATAATCCAAGAGACCATAACTCCCACTAAGGAATTCTTGCAAAGCTGTCCTGTTAGTTTGTTCTAGACAAGCGTATTATGTATGTGCTGAATGGAGTAAGCTTTCACTCTAACTGTGAACACAGAAAAACAACGGAGTTTCTTAAAGTTTGGTACTTACGTCACTAAGTCCATCAGTGCGCAGGATTTTGGACTTTAGCCAACTGAGATAGTACACACGTACGCGATTTTTCTTTCCAGATACGGTCACAAGAATATTCTGTCCTTCTAACACTTCCATTTGTTGGAAGCGGCGTCGTGAGATCAACTGATAAACTTTTCCTTGCCCTGAACGGTCCAACAACATCAAACCGTTTTCAGTGCCAATAAGTAAATTAACTCCTGTAAAGTGAATACTAGAGTAAGACATATATTCAGAGGGAAGAATAACGGGATAAATTAAAAAAAGATAAAATTTTGTCTTACCCCACAGTGCTGCACAAAGGATTTCCGAATTGAACCTCTTCTTATATTTACGTATTTCGGGTGTATCTGACGACAGATCGTGTCCCGTCGGAGTGACATTAACGTTAACGTGGCTCTCGCGCCGTGAAGCGTTGCCACCGGAGCCTCCCGTGCCGCCGCTCCCGGTTGAGCCCGCACCGAATCCGAAAGTGAGGAACGAACGCTGCTTCTGTTGTAAAGGAAGGAACTGTTGTTGGGAGCCCACCGACGAATTTGAAGGGGAATGTTGTAAGGGATGAGGAGACGCTGCGCCCACCACAAACGATTTGGACGGCGTAGATTGGACCGAGGATGGAGGTGGATGGTGATGATGATGGGAAAGAGGTGTGCCTCCAGCTATGGCTTGCCTATACTGGAACAGAAAAAATAACAAATATTACTTTATGAATTCTGACGCAGATGTCAATAATAATTGTTTGCAGCACAATCAGCCGCAGCATTAACCACGTAAATAAATAAGTGATGGTTAGTTGAATAAGTCCATTTCCCATTGATTAGTTATCATTTCAAATACAGTTGGAAAGTTATTAGCTTGATGGCTATTATCTACATTCATGACTATAACATAAAATGTGATAATGGACATGAAATTGCAGCAGGCATGAACTCGCTGTGTATGTCGGTAATTTTGATGGATACGTGTGATTAAAATCACTTGCACAAATTTGAGTTATAATTTGGTTCCAATAATGCCGATATTTCTGAAAACTTAACCTATTATTTATTTTTAACAAAAACATTCCTTGTTTAGTCACTGTGCGAATTATATTTAAACCAAAAACATAATAATGAACAGTAGCCGCAAATGACGAGTTGTATAGAAATCCATTAATAACCCGAAAGACCTCTGCTGTTGTTACAACTGTTATTAGGCAGCCCGTAAGTAGTTTGGACTACTGTAGAAAGCTTTATTAAATGTATCGATCTGCATTCGATGATCAACCAAACATTTCGTACATAATGAAAGCGTATCTAGAAAATGCATAAATACAAGGAAGGAGTGAGATACAAGACTAACTTTCAACAAACAACAATCTATGAGAACCTTAAGCATTTTCTCTTGCATCAATTCGTTTCGTACTTACGCAGTGGTAACAGGTGTCTGCAAACCGGTCGCGCAGTGGCTCCAGGGAGTTTGCATGATTGACAACCATTATCACATTAATACGATAAACCAAAAGCTTGGACACCACACACATGATCCGGAACAGGAGCTTCCAACGTTCAGCTTTACACTCCAATGTTAATACTCATTGTTATCAGACACGACACGAACTTGTTATTATTATTAGGGTATAAATCAAGTTTTGTTTTATTGGTTTATCTTTGCAATAATGGTTACTGATACATTGCAAATTAAAGTATGGAGAATACATTTTACATACATGTAGGTATATTATGAAGCAGCTAGCGTTGGAAGCACCTTAGTTTTATTTAAATGATGAATAAAAAAAAGCATGTTACTAGAACTCCCACTGTATATTAACCCTTTAAGCACGTGTATGGTGAAATGCCACGCAAAAAATAATTATAATAAATTAAATTTCACATAGTACTATCTATGTGGTCAGTAAAATCTATTGTGTAATGACAATAGCCACAAGTGGAACACAAACCAAACCGGGGCTACCACGATGTCTTGAATTAAAGTTAAATAAAAATATGAACATTATACATTATTTTCATTAAATTTCATTGCATTCGAATTAACTTAAATTTAATATTCCATAATAATATGTCGTTTGATATGTATGGAGGCATAAGGGTAATTGAAAATCAACATGAACATACCTCTTCACTAGTAGACTTGTCGTGACGCGGAGGAGTGGTCGGCTGGCCAGCCTGACTCAGCAGGTCCGGAAGCACCGAGCTAGTTCGAGATCCACTTCCTTCGTTGGCGCCACTCGAACGACCCTACACCCATTATGAAATTAATCTACATTCTGGAACATGTCTATTATTTTTTGTTAATATTATCCTTCCAATTAAAAAAGACTACAGTTATCATAGTAGTCTGTAAATCAAAAGTTACACTCCATTAAATACACACAATAATCTCGTATCTTTAAAATAAATTGACTTTAGCAAACTGTCATAATATCCAAATAATACAATAAAAAACCATAATTATAAAATCACACAAATAAACTTATGTTACTTTAGACTTATCTCAAACGTATGTTTATGAATAGCAATATTAATAAATTGGACAATAACAGAGCTCGACATACAACGGCAGCCAAACATGCAGTAGTACACATTCACAAATTGATGATTGTTTCTTGCCAGCTTCAGTGACATGTCGTTAGGCAGCATTCCTAAATTGTTAATTTTCAAGTGTCGATGGCATAAGTACGTGTCGCATATATTTTGTAATTGTTGATTTCTTGGCAGGAAGACGGCATCGCGTTTAGATAATGAATTAAGAGAAAATAGGTTAGTTAACATGGATGAGTTGCATTCATTACCAGGTGAAACACATGTTAGGTGACGAAGCTTTTAAGACATTGTTATTTCTACATAGATTTTTTAACTTTCTACTTTGTTATCCTTACTTGTTACATAATTGTACCTTGTCTTCCCAAACAGAATCCGAACTAACACGGAAATATTTCTAACAACTAGAAGAAAATATCACGCCAAAATGTAAGACGTGTGAGCAATTTCTATAACCAATTTTGTCCTACTATAATAAATCAAATAGATTTTCAATTTTAGTAAGAAGTTTTAACAAACAAGAGCCGTATACCATTCCCATACATTTAGGCAAATATTGTTATATGAACCAAAACCACTACAAACTAAATACAAAACATACAAATCATTTAAAAGCGTCCATATTATCAAGTAGATGTTAGTGAAAACCATGTTAGAAAACCAAACCCTCATACCAAATGTAAGTATAGATTATTAATCAAACTATCCTGAGCAGGGAGCAATTTACCTGATCCTGAGCGAGTACCGCTTCCTGCCCACAACTTGCCATAAGCTCTGTATGCCGGTTATATTGCGAATTTCTCCGGAAAACTATATCAGATTCAGTCTTTTCTCTTCGCGGTTTCACCATATTAGTTTCATTGACATTTTCAGAAATCAATTTACTCTCATGGGTATTGGCTGTGAGGTCGGGAGTGCCGGCTTTTTCGAAAGATGCACTACTTGTGAAACAGATGCTCGTTGCTGGAGAATCACTATTCACGCTACTCTGTCGACTTGGCCCATTACTTTCGCTGTCTTGTCGAATCAATGCCGCAACATTCTTGAGTGCGTCGATGGGGTTACTAGCTGCCAATTTCCGGTCGGGCGTTCTCTTTTTCTCACTTTTTCTAGCATCGCTTTGAGCGGACATTTTTAAACTATCGTTAGTTTTTATGAAATCTGTTAAGATAGGTTCTCCAGCCGATGATTTCATAACTTGTTTACGAGAGTTGTTAAAAATTCCACTGGATCGAAGTTGTTTGTTGGCTCCTGCTTGGCTTTCATGCTTCGGAAAGTATATAGCGGAGTGACGTGTACTAGGTAGTGGGAAAAGGTCGGAGTTTTCTCTTCTAAAACCGCGGAAGAAACGGTTTGGAGAGTTAACATCTGATTCAGATTCCTTTTTATACTTCAAGATATCAGCTAATTTATCTTGAGATGTCTTTTCGGTGGGTTTTTGGAATAACTGCTTGTGTCGCGAAGGAGGAGTAGCTATAGCCTTATATTTGGACCATGCGTCCTCCATTTCTAATCGTGACTGACGTTGCAGCTGAGCTCTCTTTTGGTCCGATTCTTTCGGATGGTCATGTTTTTCTTCTTTTTCAGAACTTTTTGATGGGAAAAATCGGGCAAAGTCCCAATCCTTCAGTAATACTGCTTCATCGACATCTGACTGCCTTTTGTCATTTTCATTATTCTCTCTCTGATGTTTGTCAAACACGTCCGATATAAAAAGTACAAATAAGTTATAAGAACCAAGAAACATACAAAGAAAAACGTATTAGCAATAATTTATGCTCACTGATCTTACTTTGGCGTGAAAAACATTCATGAAATTTAAATCCAATACAACACAGTCCTTCTCTTTCACATGGGGCCCATTCTGTCAGATGCTATTTTTTTTGATAAAGCAACACACAAAGTAGCACAAATGCTCACACACATTCCCCCAGTTGTAATGAAATAGCTAATTTAACTTTTTACTTTAATAAACTAAATAAGGTACCTTTTTTCGTTAATTCGTTACCTTATATACGTATACCGTGAATTGCAAATAAAAAAGGAATACTGTTATTTTATTGACAATTATCTATTTCATTGCACCTGGTGAAAATATTCCGTAGAAACATGTGGTGATTTAATTAATATGTTAACAGATTCAGCAATTCGGTATGCATATTATTAAACATCTTAAGCACTGACTGTTTTATTTATATGAATAAAGAAAGAGGGCCATGGATCGAGGTTCACGTTCTTATACTGTAATTTATGTGAGGTAGTATAAAAATGATAGTATGGTGTGGTTTTGGCAGCATTATATAAAATCTGGCATTAAAGCAGTCGACAGGACTTACCCTCTTCATAACAAGGGTGCGGTCGCCGTGGGTGTCGTCGTCGTCGGGAGTGGGCGGCAGCGGACGCGTGGGCGCGCCGCCCCCCGCCCCGCCGCCGCCGTCCTCCGACACCGCGCTCAGACCTGGCCTGTAACAGAACTCGGGACTGACAGGCCAAAACGTAACCAAACAGGATAGGAGGGGAATAACAAAAAGTGGTCCACAAAAATAAATTGCAAAAAATAAAATTATAACAAAATAGTAACAGATGTTAGTAATGTCCCATAAAATAGTCAGTTTGATAATTAAATGTTATTGACTTCCTTGTTTACTTACAGAGGTTTAGGCGGGTCGCTGGCGAGAAGGGTGCCATCATTGCGGACTCGTCCCCCGCTCTCTTCAGCGTCTGAATCGCTATCGGAGTCCTCAAATGCTGGTTCCGGCTGGTTTCTTTCGACGGGCGGTCCTATGCCAACAATATCATATTGTTTGTGACTATTCTTTTTATACTTTATGATATTAGGTACAATTATTCACTGAGTGTTAGGTTTCATATGCATTCATTTATTAAAGAAAAACACATTCAGATATGGAATCAATTATTGGTATGTGCGAGACTTCTGATAAAATCAAAATTATTACAGTTTAGCAATAAGTAAATACCTTGACCATTGGTGGGAGCACGAGGTGGTCTATTTGGTGGTTCGTTACCAGACACGACGCCAAGCTCATTAAGTTGTGCAGCTAGCTTGTCCAAGTCCTGTTGAGTTGTAAATTGTATTTTAGATAAATGTCATTTGTAACAACATTAAAGCAACATAATCATCACAATAATAAACGCAACTCAAAGAACCTACCTCCGGCCTTCGCGGTGGAAGCTGAAGTTGTAGATTAAATCGGATGTGCAAAGAAAGTTAACAGCGTGACATGAAAATAAAAACAAAAAGCTAATAAAATTGAAGTAACAAACAATTACATACAATATTTAGCAAGATACGTAAGTCTTCACTAATACTCGGAAATATGGAGTGATACATGTAAAGATAAATACAAGCCTCTCATAATCATTCATCAGGTGCTTTAATATCAATGACAAATAAATTCATCTGTATTGAGTCCATTTTTGTTGAGATATACAGTCAAAGAAGTAATTAAACCAAGTAAAGTATTTGTTGAGATTTTACATCAGTATCAAAACATATTTGCCGAAATATGATAATTATATTAGTTGTACAAGACACGCACCATGGGTTTGAACATGTGGTGAGAGCCACGCTGTGGTGGCTGCGGGCCGCTGGCCGGTGGCGTGCCGTTGTTGGAGCCCGAGCTGTTAGACGACCCGGACGACTTTGGTGTTGGTGGTAGAGGCCTGTAAACCAAATATACAATTGATCATTCGATAATTTTTGTTTAAATCCAAACAACCTTTGTATTTAATGTAGTTTAAATGTAATGAAATGTATAGTTTTAAAAAATCATAGTACGAATTGCAAATAATTACCTATATCTATTAGGCTGTTGTGCCTGAGGATCTGGTACAACAATCAGTCTTTGCGGAATAGATGGCCTTGCAGGTGGGCCAGGCTCTGCAGTAGCAACAAATAGTAGTGTTATTGAATGTTGTTGTTAATACAAATTGTATCTGAGTTCAGTTACAAAGTTATTATCACCTGGAATTTCTTCACGTTCCTCACGCTTGCTGTTTCGTTTCGGCGGTGGTTGCGGCTGAGGTACTTCGGCAGGTCTGGTTTGTAATATTAATAAAGAGTCACAACAGTGTTAAAAGGCTAAAACACATTAGATACGAAAGAAGACCAACCTCGGTCCTTCCTGGATTTGTTGGAAGTTGCGACGAAGAGTGTCTCCGCCTTGATGAGCAGCTGCATTGTGGACGATGGACGATGGTTCCCCGGCGACAGCGTTTTCTTCTTCCTCTCCTTCCGAGCCCGAATACTTGTAGTCCTCTCGTACTGAGTTGTCCTGCTTTCGCTTCTTACATCTGTCTATATGATCTTTGAGTTGTATCCTCACTTGCCTCTCGGTAGGTTGGTCTCTATAAATAATTTAAATAAACAGTTCATTAATATTCATTTGAGTGCAGCAACAGCTTTCTAAACATAGTTATGAGTAATATAATACGGATTTTTTTAAAATTCATTTCAAATTAAAATGAAATTTTTACCTTATAAATGCATGTTTCAGAAGTTGTTCCGTGTACGGCCGCTGATGGTAGTCCTTTACCAACACGGTCTCAATGAAACTATGAAATTTCTTAGCCCATTTCTTGGACTTAAGACGAGGTGGCGGATTTCTGAAACCATATATGGATGTAATTAGCTTTGTCATAAAAACATTAACTTGTTGGAAAAGTGGCGTGTGTCTCTTACCTTGGAATGAGGAAAAGAGCTCTCATTGGGTGAAGATCACAAAGGGGCGGTTGACTCTCTGCCATCTCAAGGGCAGTAATACCGAGCGACCAAAGGTCAGAACGATTATCGTAAGTAGCGTCGGGGTTTTCATCGCACGCAATGACTTCGGGTGCCATCCAGTAAGGTGTTCCAATGAATGTATTTCTCCTACCTATAGTTCTATCCAACTGCGCCGACACACCGAAATCCACTGCAGATAAAAGTGTTACATTTATGATAATATTATATGGCCTTTTTTACTTACTATAAGAATGGACTAATTTTGATGACCCAGTGAATGAAAATATTGTGACTTGTAAAAAAATTGTCTCAATATAGAAATCTCAAAAGTACTATATTAGTCAATACTTATTAATTTGTGTTGCCTAACCTATTGGGGAACAAAAGGTATGATGTTATGTTTATGCATTGTATAAAAGCTATTTTGAAAGTTTCACAACCTTGTTCAAAGATACATACCAAGTTTTACTTCAGCATTGTCTGTTAGCAGCACATTTTGTCCCTTGATGTCACGATGAATAACTTTATTGGAGTGTAAATAACTGAGACCTCTGAGAATTTCTCTACAAATGTATGAAATCCATTCTTCTTTTAATGACTGACCCTTGGTAGACTTAACTAAATCTGTTACAGATCCTATAATAAAAAAAAAAAAAAACGAATGTATACATAAAATGTTCATGTCGAATCATTGAATAGTTTTGCATGAGACAATAAGTACTGCAGTCAGTGACATACCAGCTCCACAATATTCCATAACCAACCATAGTTGGTCATCCTTCCCAGGAGGGCTCTTTTTGATAAAAGCTCCATAATATGTGGCAATGTTGCGGTGATTAGAGTACTTTTTCAACACATTTATCTCAAGCTTTATCTCTTCCTCCTCATCTTGTGTGACATCCATAACTTTGATGGCTGCAAGTTGTCCTGTTTTTGTGTGACGACCCTACAATTTTATTATATTATTTTGTTACTGATATAATGTACGTACATTGACTAAACCATAAATTATTGTTTATTGGTTCAAACTACCGAATGGTTGACTGATGAAAATTTCAATGTTTAGCTCTTTTTCAAGTAACTATTTATGTTTGTTTATACTATGTTTTCTAATTGGGTTATAAAGAAAAATATAGATATACTATTAGAAAATTACAATGCATATATTTGATTCAAATGGGAATGGTATAGCTAATATACATTTGAATCATGTAAGATTGTTTGTAGTCATTTAAAAATATTTTGTCACTTAAGTGGTGAATCCTTAGTAACCCGTAAGTATATGTTACTTATTTTTATTATCTTAGAGTATTACATAAAGCTGAAGAGTGTTTGTTTGAATGTGGTAATTGCAGGTTCAATTTTAAAAAAAATTTTTTGCATAGTCCATTTATAGAGTAAGGCTATTATAGGCTATAAAAACATCATGCTATAATCAATAGGAACCGAGCAGAGCGAGTGGAACTGCACGGGAGTAGCTAGTTCCTTATATGCCTTTGCTTGTCTTGCTCACAAATTCTTTATCTATTTGCCATGTTACTTTGTAATTAGATTTTGTAGTTTTATACATAAAAATAATTTGTGATGTATCATATACACTACTTTAAGTAATGTGTATCTCACAAGATTGTAACATACATTATCCTCATACATTAATTGAATACCTATCTAGTATTCTGAACACTGTCTCTAGTATAACTTTGAATGTTTCCTGCATTCTAACAGGTAAATTATAGTAAACAACAAATGAATCTCTATAATATTACAGTTGCTACATTTCATAAGTTAGAAATAAGTTAATAATACAAATGTGTGCAGTAATTGGTGTAAGTTTGTACAATAATCACAGCCATTAATATATAGAAGATAAAATGTTCACATATTAACATAATTACTGGGTGATAATAATCTAATCATAGTAACTTGTGCAAGTCAACAGTTGCCTGGCCTAAATAAATGACATTATTCATGTGAAATGAGTGATTACATACTTAGTTGGAGAGTTGAATCCTGTATTATAATGAGACTTTATTCTGTAAATGCAGTTTCATTAAAAATGTACTAACTATTGACCAGTTGTCTAAGTACTTTGATATTATATTCATTATTATTTTGCATACTGGTTGTTTCTTATAGGTACATTTTAGGTAATAAGTTAATAAGTGTAGAATAATCAGTTTTTAAATAATGTAGCTTGTAAGAGCAGCTTGTTTTGGGTTATGATTCTTTAAGTAAATATGAATCACTGTGGTATCCTGTGATAATACTTAAAACTACTGTCACTTTCTGATAAATTAACAGAACCAATCGGTTTCTAGTAAGAAATATTACTCATCATTAAAATAAACATCATCATTTTAAATTATCTTCACATTCACTGTGGTTTGAGGTATAACATAAAACAGAAAAATATAAATAGGGACCAAATTTAAAATGCTGGCACTTATTGAAAGCCCACTGATGGGAACTAATGAAGTTCATTGACATTAATAGACAGTACACTTTAATTGTAATGCTTTCATTGGAGCCTATTAAGTTAGTTAATTTTTACTAGCACCGTGTCATGTGTTACACCGTGTAAGCAGGCCGAGGATAAGTTCATAAAAGCAATCAATTTACTGATAGATTTGATTATATGTATACGAGTATAGTTTGTAACTAAATTGTAGTTGGTGTATTACATACCTTGTATACTTGTCCATAAGTGCCATTTCCGACAACTTCAATGAGTTCAAATATACCAGCAGGATCCTGAAATAATACATAAATTATGTGAAATAGCATAAAAAGATTATTATGCCATTTCAAGTAAACCTTCACTTATGATTCACGCCCTGTGAGATCATTGCCCTTTGATTACTTTTTTTCTGGAAGTTGAGGGATCCCCTGCCTTCTGGATATTCAGGATGTGTAAATAATAGGAATAGTTTACTTTAAAAGTTTACCTTTAGTGCGCTGAGGTCAATGTCGTCCAATGAACAATTTACAGACGGTGCCAGTTGATGCGCCATTTTGAGTATATTGTCACACACGAAGACAAAGCACGAGAACCTCACATCAATATAAAAATCGTATAAAACTCCTAAATTACGACATTGGCAATGAGATTAGGAATATTTTCAATATCGCACGACTAAACAATTTACAAAACTCATTGTTTACACTTAAAATTAAGTAAATTACAGATACACAATTCGTACGTCGCTCACACACCCGGCAGGGATGCCAGATTAATAAAAAAGTGTAGTAGACAGATTATAATAAAAATAATTGATTACTCGTCATTGCCAGATTGAATATTAATCAGATAATTAATTTTTTGTAATATAAAAATGATCTAAGTCGTTTATTACAACAATATAAGCCTATAAACATTTATGATTTGAGTAATTTATTATTTTAAAAGTTCATTTGTGACCGTAGTGCCATCTAGCGGCGTATTTTAATAATATTATTTAACTAGATTAGCTCTTTGCTTGGATTGTCACAGGAGCTAGAAGGCTTTCTGATACGTTCCTTTTATATCCCGATAAAAAGGAAACATTCATTTAGGTATGTAGTCCGTCAGTAATAATATGATAATAAAAGTATCAAAACGGATTTTTTTTCTTATTAAAAAAGTTTTATTTTTTAAAAAAAAAACTAAATAACAATAAATACATACTTGTCTAAATTTTTTATATTCATTTGAAAGATTGATGACATTAAAATTTGTTAATTTCTATGAAATAATATTGCAAAGACATTTCGCGAGTACCTACAGATGAACAGTTGTTTATTGAATATAGGGGGTGCTTCTGTCGAGTTGTTCTATTTATGTCACGTGCTTCTAAGTTCTACGGGGTCTACCACCAATAGGTAGGTACAACTTACTGACTATCGAGAAAAGAGTAAATAATAACTTTTAAGGGTAAAGCGCATCATGTTGGTGCCAATAAGTCTACAACACTTCCTTGCCATAGCATAGTAGAGATTAAATGAATTATTCGTGTAAAAAAAAAAAAAATGCAATTAGATATGTAATTATATATTGATAGTTATATCATGTTGGTAAAAAAAAAAAGAAGTATGTTTAAAGTAAGATTTTGTATTTTCTTTGTAGATAGCACATAAAGGAAAACTTTGCTCCAAATAGTAGCACGTATCCGCATCTTCTCACGATTATCTGCGAACATCAGAAAGGAGTAACGTTCATAATCTTGCCCATCAAGGATCGACAATGCCACTGTTACAGTTTCTTTTGGCAACATAACATGATTCATAAAGGAAGGTAGGCACGATATTCATAAAAAGATATAAAACATTATTGTAGGCGGGCACTTGAGCGCTAGATTAGGTCGAGTGATTTTAAATATCACGTTGCTATGTACTTGGCATTTATTTGTGCCGCGAAGTAAGCAAATACTTAGACCAACTTACTTGCGTTTTTTTTATCCAGGTCTCTAGTGTACACAGGATTATATAGTAAACTCTTGTAGGAAGAATTTTCATCTGATACATTCAGCTACATCATTTACCTCATGGAAACCTACATCTGTACGTCCTTCAAATTTCAAGTTTATAAAACTAAGGCCGTGTGATAATTCCTCAATATGACTGTTCGTCCGTGAAGATTAGTATTTTACTAATACTAGGAATAGCTTACATTTTCTAGAACTTGGTATAGTATCCAGTATACCAAGTAATAATAATCATTTGTATAGTCAAAATGCGTATTTACATATATTTGGATATTTGTCATAGAATGTATTCCATTAAAATGTGACGAACATGTACTTATGTATATCTATTTAAGTACTACAATGAAGAGGTTACTGTTTGGTTTTTTGAGTCCGTTTATAATCTAGTTCGACTATTGTTTAGGTATACAAAAGTATTATCAAAAAGTGACCGTATTCCGGAGTAATTTTAAGGGTAAGAAACAACTTTGCCCTTTCAAATAAGTTTTGGGTATTGCTCTATTTATTGACTTTTATTACAAGACTGTCTCAACTATCTCTCCGAGGTCCGAGGTAGTACGTAGTTCAATAAGACTTGAAATAAAAGTTGCTATAAAAGAAGTTGGATTCCAACGTGTAATTAAAACTATTGCGGTATTATTGATGGGTTATGCGTTCATATTGATTACGTAAAATAAGTATTTCTTAAATGAAGATACTTATGGTTGTGTATACCGGTTACTAGCCTAGATAGTTGAGTCGACACGACGTGTGGTGTTGCACAAACCCAAACTAAAATTATTGACTAGATATTATAGAAGTAAAGTATAGCCGCGGCGGTACGTGCGCCCGCGCGGCCGTGCATACCGAATCGTAAGATCAAAGCACGCATAGGTAGTTACTTTACCTACTCCGACAGCCACACAGGCTCACGGCGCGTCACGTAGCGGCGTGTCGGCGTGACGCACACTTGTGCGCGCACGCGAACACTAATAAAAGTATAATAAATGTTAGCGAGACACAAGCGCGGCGCGGCGTACGGTACTATTTGTTCGGGAGGGAGGTTGGAGGCACTCATACAAGCGAGGGAGAGGCTGTGTCGGCGCTGCCAGCCAGTTTACCGTTGCGAGGCGCGTAGTGCGGCCGGACGCTGGACCGCCACCCGCGCGCCGCCGGCACCCCGAAGCTCTCCGCAGCCGACACCCTGGACTGTCTCGGGATCCACCACCCTGTGCTCCCCCACGCGAACCCTACTCGCGTTCGCTTGCTTACAGACTAAGTGCTACGACTCGTGCTTATTTCACTGGAGTGTTAATCCGATTTCAGAATTTTTATTGGATCGCTTCATCATAGACGAAGGTGAGTTTTTATTTTCTTTTAACTCTTAATTATTCTTTACTTATCCCTAAGGAGTAAACCAACACAGTTGCAGCACATCAGTATTTGAATACTTCACTTTGCAGGGATCTGATATAAATATGTATTAGCTGTAATATTTAAGTTTTCATTAAACCAGTAGAGGTAGAGCGGTTGCGAGAACTATTGCTAAATTAATGTTTCCATGAGTGAAGAAATTATCATTTGGTTGATAATAATATTGACATTTATGAACGCGGATGGAAAAAAGTATGTAATTTTTTAATGAAACAGTCAGAGAGTTTAAGTGTAGGCGGTGAAGCAATTGTTGCATAGTTTACCTTATACGTTGCATTGGTTATTACGCCTGGGGCTTACCATAATAAGAATATAATAATGTTTAAGCAAGTCTTTGAGTTCTGTTCAATTTTACTAAAGCAGATCAATGATTATACACTACATAGTAGAAACTCGTATATCGAACTTTAGACAAACTTAATTTAGATAATATATAAACATAGTATATCTTACGTATTGACAAGTATTCGGCTACTTGTTACTTAAATCACCAATGAACATGAAACATCAGACAACATCCTACATAATCCTGCGATAACATATATGTTAACCACACCGCATTGTGTTGCGCGCCGCGCTGTCGTTTTGTGTTCAAAAGACTTCAACGCGCAGTAGCACCTACTATTCAGTTCGTGCGAACATTGCGCACTACATACATACAATATGACATACAGTAAGTATCTATACGTTAAATTTTCTCTATATTTTTCTCACGATTGACCATACGGAATGTAGGTAATGAACACATGCATAGATTTCGTGAGAGAAGTTAAATAAAGCCTGCCTGATAATAATTAGAATCATCATAAAGTAACTGTCATGTTTACATGGGAATGTAACGTGGCGTTACTGTTACATGCGTGTAATGACGAGCCAAAGTATGAGTAATGGATAGTAAATAAGTTTTCAGCTCGTTATACACATGTCACCCACATAAATATGTCAGCAAGACCCGAAACAACAACTTATGGATCACACAAAGAGTTGTTAGGAATCGAACCCGTGACACGTTGCGTGGTAGTCAGTTGCCCAGACGCAACGCCTACTGTGCAGTCAGCCGTTATGAAAATAAAATAGATTATTGTCGAGTGATAATTTGATCTAGGAGGAAAGCAAAAGTTCTACGTACTTTGTAAAGCACGTGGCTTTGTATACTCACAGGAGATGTAGCATTGTAGTTTAGAAATATATAATCTACCAATTGTTCTAGGGAGTACAAATTGCGCATAATATCTACCATAACTTATTAATATTTATCTTATTTTAAATCTAATAGCAATGTAGCGATAGGTCATTATACGATTAGCAATAAAACAATAGAAACTTTGAGAAGCGTTAATATTCTAGTTCTTAAATATACGGTATGTACACTGAGCTGGTTTTGTCTTCGCTGGTCTGATTCTGTGTCATTCAGAATACGTGTCGATACTATTAAAACGTTTAAGCTAAATTACAAGTCAGGTATGAACGGAAGAAAAACTTGCCGTCTTACGGAGCCAGGTCCGCGGCAAGTACTCGTGTTTGTTGGTACAGTTGTCTTATATCCGGTTCACAATTAACTTTATGGGTTATTGGTGTACTTTATAATAAATACTTCTTGTCTACCTACCCGTACAGACTTTGCATGCTATAGATATTTCTAGAATTTTGAATGGTGAACTTTATTACAGTTTAGGGTTCCATGTTAAGTTTGTAAGTTAAGATTTTCTTTTTGTGGAGTTGTATCAGTACCTATGTGACAGCGAAATCTTGTTTCTATATTTTTTAAACTTTTCTGTTTAAAATGTATCTATGTAAATCGCCACATGATGACACAATAAGTTTATCATTCGGTAGCAGGTTGGCCATGCATTGCATTTGTTTTAACAGTACCGACACCTATTGACATTATCAAAAAATATAAACCTTATTCCATTTACAGATTTGACCCTATTACTTGAGACATTTTATTAAAAAAACCGATAAAAACCAACACTACACCGGAAAAGTTTTCGAAAAAAAATACCGTTGTGCCAATAATCTCGATGGAAGTGCTTTGATCCTAATTGTTAGCAGATTTGCAGTTATTAAAGCATTTAGCGATATCTCAGCGATAAGTATTTTATTGTCTTTAGTGTTTTATAGCGGGCCGCGGTTACCTTGAGAGTAGTATTGAATTGGACAAAGGATATAACGTCACAGTACGAATTAGCCCGTAGCGATAGTACAATGAGATGGCATGAAGGTGATGGAGCTTGTTAGGCGGCGGCAAGGGGAGCGTGTATTGTTCGCAGCTCGCAGCTCGCAGCACTACCTTCAGCCGAAGTCGAATACCGTTGTTGTTCAATTCGTGACATTACTGCTAGGTTATAGGTAGAGAGAGTAAAGAAAAAGGTATTAAAAGCTTCTACTTAACTTACCAGTACCAGACAGAATTCTTAGGAAAATACGTTAGTTAAACCTCTTTATAATTTAGTGGGTAACCTATACTACATAACTAAGAGTAGTCGTAAAAGTCTTTTACTATTAAAACCTTTCTTACTAAGAGAGGTTTCAGTAAAAAAAGCTACAATTTCCATGTGATATAAAAGCTAATTGTAAGTCGAAATTAGAGACCGCCGTGTCCTAAGAGATGTGATCGGCGACGGCGACCTCTCGCGTCCGGCTTTAGTTCAGGCCATGGTGTGGAGCGAGGAGGACTGGGATGCCGTCTCCTCCTGCGAAGCAGTCATACTAGCTAAAGAGGAGGCGGAGCGCGCGAGGGAACAAACCTTCTCACGCCCCAATCGTCGCGACCATAAGAGCCATCAGACCACCATAGATGGGGCTCAGTAGGGTTGATGCCCGATACGAAGCCGCGGAAGGCCTAACGGGTTGCCGGGGCTCCGGCTCAAACAGCAGGAGTAGGAACGGGGTGGTTTTTAGTCAGTCAAAAGCGGGAGAAGTCATTGGATGATTTTCCCCCCTTTAAAAAAAAGGTAAATTAGAGAACGAAATACTATTTATATGAAACCTATACAAACATATTTTGCAGTAAAACAGATTCTAAACATGGCACCAAAAACGCATTACAATCTATGGAAATAATGAAGCCTTAGGTAGTTCAAAAAAATTTCCTTTTTCTCCTTGAAAAATGTAAAATATATCGGAGAACATTGTTCTCTTTAGTTCAGAAACTTGAATGTGCCTTCATTACCTATTTGTTTGGTTTAATGTGTATTGTCAGAGGTAGTGAATAGAAATAACTCCGTGGATGCTGAGCATGAGCCGGTGGTCGTGGCTCGTCGGCGCATGATCGCGTTACGCAATCAGAATGCTCCACACGACGGCACTGCACTGCGCCACCGTAGATATTCTTAACTATACCTTATAATGCGTCACGATTTGTCCTTTTAATTGTGTTCCAATTCCAGATGTTGGAAATCAGAATCTACTCAATCTTATTCGAATGACAAATTGAAGAAAGGATTTTTGCCATTTTTATCCTGGGTAGTAGATTGTCAGGTCTTTGAAACATACTTTATTGCGAACATAATTCGAATCACACTAACTAAATCTATAAAAGCATGCCGTCAATGCTTATAAATAATCAAAAGTGAAATATTTTGATACGTACATAGGTACATAAGCATGATACATTTACGATTGTTAGGTTATTACGACCATATTGTATGAATAGTTTGTTTTATATATTTTTTGTATTTAACAGTGTCTGAGATTAAAAATATAGGATAAAAATAACATAAAAACATGTCAAATAAAAAAGAACATGGAAGTGCCTACGTGTATCATTTTGTAAATTAAACCAATTTATCAAGATGAATACTCATTTATAAAGTTTTGTTAGTTAGTTTTTGTCTGGTGCGTTTGAAAGTGGGTACGTTGCAAATTATCACGAACTTGAATGAAAGTATACGAAGCGTGAGAGGACATTAAGATGAAAATAATTCTAGAATGTTCTTTGACATGCTTTTCGTAACAACCATGCAACCACATCCTAATGTACGAATGTATTATATCGGCCTAAAATCTGCCGTGAATGCCTTAGGAACTCAGCAAAGCTATTAAAATTATCAAGTTAAATTTTCTCAACTGTCACTCAAAAAAGATAACGCGTAATGCATGGGAATCTATATTTGAATGAAGTCAATGACTAACCAAAACTTAGTTTTGTTCAAAATTTTCCTTAAACAAATGAGATGAGTATTCGCGGATAAATTATATTTACTCTTTTCATATTTAGTTGGCATTCTGAGAGTACGTAATATGCCTACTTATTTATCGTGCTCTGCATCGGCTACACAAACGAACGGCCTCAATAACATGAGTACTATGCTAGTTCACGATAAGAACAATAGGATATCTTGTCCACGACTTAAGAGTCGAATGAATAAGGCTTTAGATTTCTGCGTCCATGCCGTCTTTATAGAAACGAGAAAACTATTGGAAAGTGAATTCTTAATAGTTTGATAATTACAAAGATACGATGCATATTTAGATATTAGGAGAAATATGTGATTTCAAACAATATTAAGTTCCATAAAAAGATTGTGTCCACAGGTGATTCAATATTGTAGTACAATATTATACCTATTTAGGTATAAGTACTACAATATTATTCTTAATTAAGTACTTAGGATTGTAATTGATTAATTAGAGAGCTTTGCGAATGAAAATAGTTACATGGAGTGCTATTTGCTGGCTGGTTAAACAATGGCATTCTTAAGACTGCGTACGACGTAATGTGAAAACAGTAACCTTTCTGTGGAATAAGCCTAACGTAATGCCTGATATCGTTCGTTGGGAATCAACTACAGGGTCTGAAGGGAGTTTCGCTTATTTTATCGATAGTCAAGAAACACGTTATGTCGTTTGCGCAGTGAGTATCTTTTCTATTGATCATCTCACTTACTCACGTATATGTATAAATGTTTATGTTAGAGTAT